TTTTCCCTCTCCGTGGGCGACTCTGACTTGTCCGACAGGAAGGCGGGATTTCCTAGAAACAGCTGGCTGGGGAGAGCTCCCCGAGTTATGTAAATAAGGTGGACTTGTACCTGGTCACAGCTGGCTCCCGGCCCCGCCTCGTCTCATCCCCCAAGCCTGGCCTCGCCCCGCTGGTTCGCTGGTTCCAAGCTCCAGTCCGGAAGGCCTGCTTGTGCGTCCACCTCACTCACGTTGCTATTTTTAATTTAGGGTGTTGGTTACATCCTTTTGCTAAGCTGGATCTTCCTCCTAGGAGGCTGCAGGTAACCACACAGCGTTGAATTGCTTCGGTAGCCCAAGAGGGGCTCCCCTTAAAAGAACTTCCCCGAGCTGTTGGGGGCACCTTGGTGGCCGGCTGGGATCAGTTTAGGGGTGATTCAAACTTGGGGTTTTTCGCCAAAGCTGCACGGTTATTGAAATGGCTAGAGGACTTTCGTGTTTAATCTTCCCCATTGGGCAGTGCCATGGACTGAGGGGAGATCAGGCTGTGGTTTTGGGGGGGGATCTGGGGAAGGCCCAGGAAAGGGTCTGCGGAACTTGAGAAGGGGATTGGGGTATTAACACAACCTCGCGGGGATGACTGTCAACCACCGGCCAGACTTTTCTGTTCTCTGGGACTGTGGTTATATGGTTTGCCAGTAGTGAGTTGTAGAGAGGATTATTATTTTTTTGGGGGGGCGGGGACGATTTTGCTATAGGGCATCTGTGCTCACCAGAAAGAAAGAGACAGAGAGACAGAAAGTGAGACATCACCTCCCAGGGGAGATGGCCACGCCGCAAGCCCTTCTCCTCCGTTCTCCTCTCGGGATCTTGGGCACGCACGCACGCGCGCCCAGCGTGAGTTGAAGCCACCGGGTCCGGGACTCGAACCGCAGTTGACTACATGGGAGTCCAGCGACATAGCCATTACGCCAACTGCTGGTGCCCTGGCCCCACTTTTTGATTACGAAGTGGCTCTCACCAACTTTGATATGGCAGGGGCTCTCTGAAAGGAACTCTCTGAAACTCTCCCAGGATCAGGTCATGGGGGTGGACACTGGAGCATGAGCCCCTCCGGCTTCTCTCCCTAGGCCCGCCTGGAGTCTGAGCCGCCCTCCTGCAGACCTGGTGGGCAGCCTGGAGGGGGACATAAGCGAAGGTGCAGCAGTATGTGCTGGGGGTGTGGCGGGGGTGTGTGGGTCTTCAAAAAGTTCGTAGGAAAACGTATAGCATGCAAACATTATGTACTGGGCTGGGTGGCGCGGTGGTTAAGGCACTGGACTCCCACGTGGCAGACTGTGGTTTGGTTCCCGGACCTGGCAGCTTGCTTTCTCTTACTCTGCTCAGATGGAATAATAATGACAGTAAGTAAAGTTAAATAAATAATTTAAAACAAAGAAAGGGAACTGACAGGCGGAATGGGAGTTGGAGTGCTAGACTCCGACATGGCCACCATGGTTGGAGTCCTGGACCCGGCGGTTGGTTTTCTCACTTTCTCTTCCTCTCTCTCTCTCTCTCTCTCTCGCTGTCTCTCTCTGCTATTATTATTTAAGAAATAATAATAGCAAAGAAAGTTAAATGAATAATTTTTTTTTTTTTTTTAGAGAGAGATTTTTGCTATCGGGTGTATGCACTGACTAGAGAGACAGAGAGACAGAAAGCGAGAAATCACCCCCAGGGGGGATGGCCGCGCCGCAGTCCCTTCTCCTCCATTCTCCTCTCGGGATCTTGGGCACGCACGCACACGCACCTGGAGTGAGTTTTAAGTCCAGGATTTGTACCATGGTTGATTACGTGGGAGTCCAGCAACATAACCATTATACCATCTGCTGGTCCCAAATAAAAAATTCTTAAAGAAAAAAAAAATGAAAGAAAAAATTATGTATGAATTTGAAAACTTTTTTGCACCAAAATAAATGTGTACTTTAATTCTATTTTCCCTGAACTTCGCTTTAACTTTAAAAAATTTTTTTAAAGAATGATTGTATTTAGGGACTAACAGTTGTCATAATGGTTGTGTCTCTGGACTCCCATGTAGTTGACTGCAGTTTGAGTCCTGGACCCGGTGGCTTAAATTCTAACTAGGCGCGTGTACGTGCATGCCCAAGATCCCGAGAGGAGAATGGAGAAGGGATTGCAGCATGGCCATCTCCCGTGCACGTGCTGCTCGTGGGGGGGGGGGGGGGCACATGTTCCATATAACAAAAACCTTTCCAAAAAATAATGATTTTATTTAACTTTATTTATTAGTATTATTTTAATATTTTCAGAGAAAGAGAGAGGAAAGAGAGTAAGCAAGCCTCCAGGTCCAGGACTCGAACCACAGTTGGCCATGTAGGAGTCCAGCACCCTTAACCACTATGTCACTTGCCAACCCCTTCTTGAATTTTTTAAAAAGGGCCCGGGCGGTGGCATAGTGGTTAACGTGCTGGACTCCCACATGGACAACTGCGGTTCAAGTCCTGGACCTGGCAGTTTCAATCTTGTGCCGGATGCATGTGTGTGTGTATGTGTGCATATGTGTGTGTCCATCTGAATTCCCAAGAGGACAATGGGGGAGAAGTCATTGTGGAGTGGCCATCATCCCTGGGGGGGGGGTGTGATTCCTCATTCTCTGTCTCTCTTTCTCTCTGCCCCTCTGGCAAGCTCATGTGCCCTATAACAAAAATCTTTTTAAAAAATTATTTAATTTTACTTACTGTTTTTAAAATTTTCTGTAAGGCACACATGTGCTCACCAAAGTGAGACAGTGAGAAATACAGTGAGAAAGCAAACCACCAGGTCCAGGATTTGAACCAGAGTCAGCCCTGTAGCAGACTAGCACCTTAACCACCATTCTACCTGTTGGTCCCTCCATGAACTTTTTTTTTTTTTTTTAGAGAAATTTTTGCTGTAGGGTGTGTGTGTTTGCCAGAGAGGCAGAGACAGAAAGAGAGAAAGAGAGAAATCTCCCCCCCAAGGGGGATGGCCACACCGCAACCCCTTCCCCTCCATTCTCCTCTTGGGATCTTGGGCACACATTCACACGCGCCTGGCGTGAAGTTTAAGCCACCAGATTCAGGATTCGAACTGCAGTTGACTTTGTGGAAGTCCAGTGATGTAACCATTATACCATTTGCTGGTCCCATCACAAATGCTTTTTTTTAATTATTTATTTTTCTTTTTAAGAATTATTTTATTTAACTTCATTTTATTTAAATTTGACCGGAGAGAGACAGAATGAGAGAGGGAAAGTGAAAAAGCAAACCGCCAGGTCCAGGACTTGAACCGTAGTTTGCCACGTGGTAGTCCAATGCCCTTAACCACCACACCACCTGCTGGCCCCACCATGAATGTGTGCGCGCACCCAAACTCCCAGGAGAACAGAGAAGAAGGGATTGTGGGATGGCCATTCCTTT